AAATGAGCACACCCCAAAGTGATGGGCAAATCTAGTAACAGGGGGTTCAAACCCATCTCTGCCTCCCAGGAAAGTGCTCTAACCACAGGTTATATGCTATTTGGAGTTGGACAGTACTTCAGCTCTCCCCACTCCTTCCCTCCTTCTGTTGAAGTTGGGTTTTATAAAGAATTCAGGATTCACTGGGCCAGAAAGAAGACATATGGTTCTGTAGGCTTGTGGTTAGGGCACTCATTTAGGAAAGGGGTGTTGCTCCCAGGACAGTTTCTGTATTCTATCCAATGACTACCTAATGTAAAAAATAGAAATAGTCCTAGCTGCAAAGACTGGACTATGTGCTCTAACCACTAGGTTATAGAGTCAGGCTGGCTCAATGAGTTTTGGGTCTTTGTGGCCCACTAACTCTTGAATTATTTTCTGAACAGCAACACAGCTTCAACAAGAGGGCTGGAGAGTGCCCATGCCTGACCCTAGCCTAGGAAGTGGGGGCTGTTGTCAGCCTGAGGAGAGAACTGAAGCTGACTCTCTCACTTTCTAGGAAAGTAGTCTAACAGTTATGCCTCAGACATCACCTCTTTCTCGCACCCTTAGTCCTCAGTGAGTAGATGCTGGGGATGAGTTGGAACCTCTCATTGGAGAACTTCCAGGTCTGGAGTATGCTGAGTTTTTTTTACCACTGCTACAGAGGTACAAAACCCAGATGACAGGTTTCTTACAACTTGTCCATCTTCGCTTAAGCTCCCTTCCATTCTATGTTTGATTCAGAGTCTGCTCTCAGTGCTACCAAGAAGATTACCCCTAGGCCTAAATTGATTCTGTTGAGTACTTTCACTCAAATTAAATATCCAAGTGACTCTTAGATCTTTTGTTCCTTGGATCAGCAGAGGCTGGAAGTGCTGGATGATTAAAAAGAGCACTGAGCCTGTGGAGCTGGGAACACATCAGTAATCTGAAGAAAGTCAGTCCCCCCCCTATTGCAGGGTCACGCAGAAGGAAAAGGGTCTGTGGCATAAACACTGCACCATTCTGTCTGTACTTCAGAGGATAAGTTCTTTCAGGCAGGGACTGTCTATTTGTTCTGTTTTTGTCCTGCATATCATGGCTAGAGCTATTGCGCATTTTCAAAATTCAAATAATAAAAAATAGCTGTGCTGAAGAAAAAAGCTTCTTAATGTTAAACATGCCTGTTTATGTTTTAGGATGAATTTGGGTGTCCAAGGAGGTGAGGAATTAATAGCCTTGAGAAGAACCAGGCTCAAGCACTAGCAGAGTCTGTGCTAGCTTGCCACTTGGCTCTCTTTCTCCCAGTGCTCACCTGAATCTGCTCCCGCTAAGCCCTTCTTATGCAGCTGTTCCAGTGTACTTCAAGGAATGCCAATACCATTTTGTACTACTGCAGCTGTAAGCCACCTTGCATGTTAGGCAGTGAGAGTCAGTTCTCCAGACATATTCTGAGCAAGAGCTGAATATACAACTAAAAGCTACCCAGCTCCTTTTACATGTTGTCCCGTCAAGGTTGAAATCCAAGTCTAAAGAGGCCCATTCATCTTGCTAGGAGAGCCCTGAAAGAGATTGGATTAAAACCAGAAGAACTTTTTTTTCCCCCTCCCCCCCCCCCTTTTTTTTAACCATGCTATTTTGTGGTGGTGTTCATATACCATCTGAACTCCTGAGTCCTTAGGGTCAACTTGAGTCTCATTTTCAAGCTTTCCTATTTATGCACAGGGGATTAAAAACTTACTTTTTCTAATGGAAGTTGAGATTCTTGTGGGCATCCAGGATATGAGGCTTTAAAACAAACAAACAAAACTAGAATGAATAGGCCTCTAAATAAAATTGCAAGATTTTATTTGGTGATACTTCCCCTTTCTCCCTCCCCCCCCTCCATACATCATTAGTGAATGTCTCGCTGCTATCTGATTGTTTTGCTTCCCTCTCACATTTTATATTGCTCTGCTTTGTCGATTCAGAACTCGGTCATCTCATTTATTGGACATCCTGGTTTACAAAATCTCTGCCAGATCAGGAATCCAACAAACAAGCAGGAGCTGGTCCTGTCATAAATGTCAACCGTCATCCAGAAGGAACACATAAAAGCAAGGAACCATGGCTGGGACATGACTCCCAAGACAACACTTAACCAATCGTTTATTTAAGGTTCATCTATTTGCCATTCTTGCAAGTGACCATGGGGTGTCAGTAGTGTTCCTCACAAAGGTTTTCAAAACAGCTGCTCCAGGAAATAGCGAACCTCTGGAAAATGCTAAAGAAAGCTGATGTTAGGAGCTGGGCTTCGGTGCCCTGAGGTGACTTTCTGTACCCCTGAATTTTGCTCACAGATTGTCAGGAGCCTATCTGTATGCATCTAACTTGTCCATGCAGTTTATTAACTTGTCCATGTAGTTTGACCCACAAATCTCAAAATATTTGCTGGGACCTGTATTTTCATGGGCTATAAATTGCTTGTGATTGCATGCTGTAGCAATAAAAACCCTGTTATATATGTACATTATCCTCATCTTATGAAACACCAGCCTCTCTCAATTAAGTACCTGTGCATCAAGATGTTTCCTTAACTTTGTCTAAGCCTGCTAATGTCCCACTCAGCACAGCTGCAAAATGTTAACAGTCTCAGGTTTTCAGACCTCATCTTCTGCCAGTTCCCACCTGTGTGTTGGGGTTTTTTTTTTTAAAGACAATTGTACCAGAAGTGAGTGATGTGCAGCCTAAGCAAAAAAAAATGGAAGGGTTCTGTGGAAGATGAGATGATGGATGAGGTTGGAGATCTGAATCAATATGGATATGAACTCTAACATTCTCTAACATTTTTTTTTAAAAGATTAACAGATCACAGAGAAAGTTTTAGATTCTCCTTGTGTTTTTGGAGAACAGAAAGCCATCATTTTCAAAGTCATGTACCTAAAGTTTAGGAACTAAACATGTGCATGCACACTCCCCTACCCACATCCCTCCCCACCCCACAAGGTGATGACCTGATTTTCAGAGATGCTGAGCCTCTGCAGCCTTCTTACAACTGATAGTTGTAAGTATTCGGAGCCTCTGAAACATCAGGACATCATTATTAGCTACCTAAAAATGAAACCAAGGGTCTAAACTTGGCATCTGAGTTTGAAAATGTTGACTCAAGCTTTCTAAAAAGAGATGGCAAGTGCTCACAGTTCTTATTGCTCATCTTTATCAAAATACAATTTAAAACCATAATTTCTATTCAGAGAGACAAGTAGGGATGTTTCCTGATGTTTCCAAGCTATGTGCATATGTTCAAAGAGGAATTTATAAATATTAGTGAAAAGGCTGATACTGTTTGTTTTATCTAGTAAAATTGTAGGATTTTATAATTAGTACAAAACCATAAATTTTAGTGTGAAGTCCTCTCAGAAAATGGACAAAGGTTTAGTGGATTCAGATGGAAAAATTATTAAGGGCCATTATTTGCCACAGTCCTAACTTGGAAATGTCCTCTTTTCCCTTTTTGTTTCCTAAGTTTCCTTATTTAAGAGATTATGAAGTATTGTGTGTCATTTACAGAGCCCTTGCTTTATAAGAGCAAACACTGGTGTATATGGACAACTGTGTTTGATCGCTCTTAAGTGACTTTAGCTATCTGAATTACATGGCTTTTCCAATTTGTAGGACTGACTTTGGGGGGCTCTCCACTTTAAAAGAACTTGATGCTGCATGACAGCTAGTTTGTGTGTTGGGGGGTCATTTTGGTAACTGAGGAAGTTCAAAGTTGTCTGTGGTTTTTTTTATTGAAAGCTTTCCAAAATCTCTCCTAATCGACTTGAAAAAATTACACTGTGTTGTACTGTGGCCAACCTGTAGCAAAGACCTTGTGAAGGGGAATCTGTTTGCAGGTAGAACTTCTTTTATTCTTTGGCTTAAAAATAAAAATGAAGGTCATATACAGCAATAAAAAAGCCATCATTCCTCCCAAATACTGCCAAGCTTAATGAAAAGTGAAGGCTTCAGGAGTTCCCTGCAAAGTCTCAGCAGAGGCAGCTGGGGAGGCATTGTTTACATCAGTTGGGCATCAAATGAACATACTTGGTCAGCCAGTCACTCAGCCTCAAGATATGAGATGATCTGAAACCTTGAAACTCATTCTGTTTTTAATTATGACAGCCCATGACATGCTGGCAGGCACAAGCAGCTTTTGCCAATTAGATCAAATGTAGTATGCATTGGAGCTGTGATTCCCAGGCTTTTGGACAAATGATTCTGTACTAGCACCCAAACTTTTCAGCAGTACCTGACAGGGTGAGTGTGATCTTCATGACCATGTCACTGCAGTTGATATGATGTCCATGATGTTTACAGCTGGTCATAGATAAATAGAAGGGCAGTAGCAGTTCTGTGGTCCCAGTATGGAGGCCTGATGTTAAAACAGGGAAGGGGAGACTTGACTAAATCACAGAGGAAGTGAAAGTTCTAATACTGCCCAGTGAGGTGTCCTTGAGGTGGGAAGGATCATAGCAGTGCTTTTTTCCTGTCTCCTTAGTGAGGAGTCATGCCTGGAAATTTGGATGTACTCTAGAGCTTATTCATTTTCATCCCAGCTGTATAGCCTAACAACAAACCTCTATTTATAGCCAGCCCACTGCTCCTTGCTCCCTTCCTTTCTAACTTCCTGCTCTTCTTGTGCCTTCCAAATGCTGTCCTTTTTTTGCAGCATAGCCCATCTATGAACTCTTTCTGACCAGTTTCCTGTTCCTATCCTCCACCAACATCCGATCCTCATTAAGGAGACCATTGTATGGTAAGTGAAAACTTGCACCCTCTGCGAGGCCTACTGTCCTTCACCAGCAGGAGTATTTGGTGGTGTTGCATCAGGGAAATGATACGGAGATGTTCCAATTTCAGCCCAGGATGCTGTGCACTCATTCACTGTCATCCAAGATTCATTCTGCAGCTCCCCATCAGCTCCCCTTGGACAGCTTTCCTTTAAGAGGAGTGTAGAGAATGCATGAAGTATCACCAGAGACACAACTCACTTTGAAAGGAATGTTAAAAGGCCACCAAAGGTTGTAAGGCTTATCCCACACCTGTTACTTCCAGGGAATGCCTTGCCTAGTAAACGTCATGTTTTCTCATCTTGCTGTCACAGTTCTGTAAACTTGGTCTGCAAAAAAAAAAAAAAAAAAAAAAAGGAGGAAGAGCCTCAAACCAGTAAGAGAGAGTGCTGTATTTCAGTTAGCAATAAGGAGGCTGTATTTTATTATGCTGCGATGGCAAGTCATCTTGCCTGCCCCCTACTCCCCTCATCACTTGTGGTCCCTTGTATTTTTTCTTTGTGCAGAATGATGAGATGAATGGACAGCTGCATCATCGCAAGCTCTATTTACTTTCTTCAATCAATCTGTCACTCTCCTAAATTCAGTCCAGCATCCTCCTGCATTCTGCCTTGCCTTGTTCTCTCTTCTGCTCCCACTCACACCAGTTCACCCTCTCCTGACTCATTGTTCCTCTGCATTTAGTCCCTCTTACCCCCTCAGTTGCAAACTCTCCTCTCTTCCTTCTGCCTCACTCAATATTTCTCTTCCCAATTTATTCTCTCCTCCAAAATCAGTCAGTCCTACTCCTGCTGCTCTCCACTCACCAGCAATTACTGCAACTACTGCCTCTCAAATCCCTCGGTCACCTCTATGCAGGAAGGAAGGCTGGTCCAGTGGTAAAGTTGCTCACCTGGAACCTGGGACATCCAGGTTCCCAGCACTGCTATTGATATGCTGTACACTTGAGTAAGTCACTTAGTCCCTCCCTCTCTTTTGGACCCATGGATAAAGTGCCACAAATTCCACCAGATCATTTTGTAATCTGCAGTTCCTCTGACCATGAACACAACTTTACATAGGTGCGATGGATATAAAATTAATTAATCCATTTGTACCTTTCACCTGGTGTTTGCCCCTCTCATAAAGATCAGTTAGCTCTGCTCCCTTCCAAAATCCATTTCATGTTGAAAGCTGCTTAAGGTTCAATTTACAGTATAAACTGCAAGTAGACTTTAAGTAGGCTTAGGGAGAAGCAGATCCCCTTACTTGACTATATTAGTAAGGTAGATAGCCAAAAGCCTATCAACAGGAGGTTTTTTTCTCTTGTAAAATTTCCTGTTGCTACCTCCCTCAGAGAGCCACTTGAGTCTGGTGTGGAAAAGACAGAGGTATCATCTGATTTTTTTACTGCTGTCACGCACACCTGCTCTACGCAGATTTAGACAGCATGGAAATTAAAACACCAGAACTTTGTCTATACCAGGACTGTTACTACCACTAATATTAGCTGTGGTAGGAGAAAGGAGTCTAAGAAAGAGCCTCCTTCATCCAGACTATAGAAAGACCATAGTTAAAAAAACCAAAACAAAACAAAAACTTAGTTTCTACTGTAAAGGGATTAGCATACCCATGGGTGTTGTAAGAATAATAGCTGAAGTGGGGGAAGGGTGCACATTTGAAACAAAAGGTTCTGAATGTTAGAAGTATTAAAAATTAGTGTCATGCGCTAAAAAAAAAATGTAGATCAACAAAACAGAGAATGAGCAGTCCTCCAAAATAGTGTCAGGTTTTAATATGTTCAAATCTTTGTAAAGTAAAGCATTGACTTTATCAAAATGATCCTGAGAATCTGGTTAGCACATCCAAAAATATGGGTTTTAGACTCAAAAATGAAATGCTTGTTTCAAAAGTAATGTGGTTTGCTGTTTTTAAATCATTTTTAAGATAGAGCACAGGTGTTTACATTGGCTTGTCAAGTCTAGAAATTGAGCTTTCCACAGGTCCAGAAATCCAGAGCCGATAGAGCATTTGCTGGAAGAACTGTATTGGAATAGGTGAAAGAAAACAAATATATGAGCTAGTTCCTCTTAGCTCTGTATCCATTAGCTGTTTGAAAAAAATCTCTGTTATGGCTTGCTTAATTTTTAGCATTCCTCACAAGGCCTAGGGGCTGCTGTGTCTTTCCAAAGCCCTTCGCCAATATCCCAAATGGTGTGTTTTATCAAATCCGTATTTAACTTTGACCCTCCATAAGATCCAAAAAGGAAATTGCTGTTTTACAAATGTATTCCCTGAGGGATATTACCTTCTGAACCTTGTGAGAAGCAAAACTGTCACTCAGCTCCTAGGATGTTCCTAGGAGCTAACCATGAGATTTTCCTCCCCTCATTATATAATCTCCATAGCCACTTGGACCTTGGGCGTACAGATCTCCAAAGCTGTGCTTATACAGATACAAAAGATCCCCATGTGGAGATTCCCCAAATGCAGCCAACTCAGGCCTCAGTCATTTAAATTTCAGAAATACCAGTATTATGAAGAAAGAAATCCAGCCTCTTTTCAGTTACTTGTTCTTTGATGTAAGACCCTCAAACTATTTTGTGCAGAAGCAGGTTGTAATTGGGGGGTGGGGGGTATTTTTGGGTCCCAATCAATATCTATTTCCTTTACCCATACTGAAAGATGTGTTTAAAAAAAAAAAAAATGGAACA